TTTTGCATTATATAGGGGCACATGCGGGAACCACAGAACCATGGTTCATTTTTCCTGAACGGCCCTCTGAATACCAGAAAAGGGGGTCCCTAGTTCGATTCCTCGTGGTGACAAATTTTTGCATTTCGAGTTGACGTTTCAAAATTCGCGCAAAATGGAGTTAGCATGAATAATTAGTACCATATTCATGATTAGGACCGTCAGTAACCCTTACAAAAAGACTTTGATTAAAAAATCACACAGTGGGGCCGTTTTGGTGTCACACCTTTTTCACCAGTTTTTAATCAAAGTCTTTTGTAAGGGTTACTGACGGTCCTAATCATGAATATGGTACTAATTATTCATGCTAACTCCATTTTGCGCGAATTTTGAAACGTCAACTCGAAATGCAAAAATTTGTCACCACGAGGAATCGAACTAGGGACCCCTTTTTGGTATTCAGAGGGCCGTTCAGGAAAAATGAACCATGGTTCTGTGGTCCCCACATGTGCCCCAATGTCATGCAAGAAACCATTTTGAAAAAGCTTGGCACACCCTGAACGACCTCCCTTGTAGGTGCAGGGGGAGGGAAGTCGCATTTGAGATTTTCAAATTGGGGGACATATTGGCCTTTGCTTATTTGTGGTGGTGGTAAAGGGATCGCATGGGGGACCCTAGGCCGGTGGTGATGCGACATCGTGTCGAGTGCCACTTGAAGTTATCTTTCCGGGAAATTATTGATTTCTTTCCCAACAAAAATATGTCGCTAGTGATCACTAGAGACAACATACAAAGTTTCACGCAAGAAGATTCAGTTTCTGAAGAGAAACAAACTTACGAAAACCACACTCTATGGACAGTCGAAGGTAGGTGCGCGGAGGTGGGACATGGAGAAAAGTCCGCCTTGGGGCGGCTACGTACCAGGCGACGCATTGAAGGAATCAGGTAAGAGGGTTATATTTAAGAGAATAGACAAGAGATCGACAGAATAGTATGCAGTAGAAGTGCGAGGTTTTAATGCAACAAGTCAAAAGGTCAGAAAGAGTTTCTAGTGACGGCACTCCAAGAACCAAGTGGAAGCATCCCCGTCGCCAGCATTTGTGACAGATGTCCGGCGGTACTTTGAACGCGTAGCAGCCTTTCAGTTTTTCGAATTTTTTACCAAAACAAAATGCAATTTTTCTGTTCTTTTCGTTCTTGTCGTGAACGATGGGGGTCTAAGCCAGGGATTTGAGGTGGATGGAATCACGATTTTTCCGGGAATTCTGTAGGAGACGGTGGGCATGGGAAATTTCATGGACGGTTGCGGGGACGGTTCAAAATAATTTTCTTATCATCCATCTCTCTCTTTCTCTCTGTTTAGTCTATTTGCCATTAGCTTAAGTCGAAGAGACGAAAAAACGGAAGCAGGCGGTAAAAAAGGGGAGACGTCGACGTTCCCACTACCTTTTTTGAACACAGTCGATTTCAAATTGGATTTTCAAAAGAGAATGGGCACTGCTAACCTGCGAAAATATTCTGCGAAATGGAAATGGATTATCGTGAGATGGCTGACACGCCCGCACGGATTTTGGAAGCGGAAGCGGCGCCCGCAGCGCATCGCTATCTTCCGTCAACGTCCGTTTTCTGATCCCGTATTCATTCTAGTGAGGTCATATATAACAGCCGCCAGTTATTGTTTTCACGAATTTGTTCTGGGCATTTTCCAAATAAAATATGCATGTTGTACAGTTTTGTTTATTTATTTCTATTATAACAGGAACGAGTTGAAAAATTTCATCACAAAACAATTTGTCATTAACGAAGTATCAAGTGATAGGTAGAGATCTGTAGGCAGGTTAAGGAGACGAAGCGTAAGAAAAAATTCAACAAAGAAGCATTTTTAACAGTTACATACCCATATACAGAAATAATTAATAGAACAAAAATACAACACAAAGAAAGATTACTGAGTATTGACGCATGAGACTTAAGTCTTCCATGAAGGCTGAATATCGCCGAGGTCAACGGGTGGAGCTGTTGGAGCACTGGGAGCGGCAGATTGCTGCAAGATCGCATGGTGTGGTGGGTGGAGTGGGATACGGTGGTGCAGCTCCAGGAGCATAGCCTGGATATTGTTGCTGGAAGTGGTAGGCTTGAGGTGGGTACGGTTGCTGCGAAGGATATGGTTGTGGTGGAAGTGCTGTGGGTGGAAGTTGGACGCCACCATATGGCGGATATCCGTACTGTTGTGTCATCGGAGACGAATATCCCATTTGAGAGGTATGAGTAGAGGGATGGCCCTGAAATGAGCGCTCATTAAGAAGAAGAGGGTGGAACGTTTACAACAACATTTCAAAATAGCAGTTTATGTACGAGATCACTCAAAGTTAGAAAGCACTCTGAACTCGAGGCACCAAGTCAGTTGGAAGCTGTCTGGGGCAAGGTCAACTGTCGCGTTCATAAAAATTCCGAGGCGCTATCGCAATATACGGGGCAGACTCTAGGATTGAGCCTGGGAGGTGCAGGAACTTCGGAAAAATGAAAATGGCTCACGCACCCTGGAGTCTCTCCTCCTCCGCCTAAGGCTTAGTCCCGTTTTAACAAAAAGGACATGTTTTACGCGGTTTTGAATGCACTGCCACCACAATGCCCCCATATCTTGCGATAGCTTAATTTCGAAATTGGGAGGACTCCCTCGAAAAGAGCCCCCATACCACCTCTGCCACTCCATAATCGACAATATCCATAGAATATCCATAGTATCGTTAGCTACCGTCACTTGAACACTAATCCAGCCCATAAAACTCTCATTTCCCCACTAATGCCGTGGAACGGGGGAGGGCAGGGGGAAAGGAAGAGGGAAATAATAGAAAAGTTGTAATTGCAGCTCCTGAAACTGCAAATTCTACATTTTATTCCTTTTCTCCTTTTCTCTTACTTTTTAACAATTAGGACCCATCCCCCCTTCCTACTGTAAAAAATGACCCCATCTTCTGCGAGCGCGATCCTTCGACTTCCACCAATACACCCCCTACGACCATCCCTTCCAAAACTTACAAACTCGCCCCCCTTCCTTAAAGATTTCGAAGCGAATGTGACCCTAGTTTAGTTTCCAGAGGCAACCTCCACCTTTACTAATTCAATTTTATGTTAACCCTTTCAAAGAGCAGCTTAAATGGTCCTAATCTGTTTGCTAGGTTGAACAAAAGACATACCTGAGATATTGGTGGATACTGAGCAGTAGGCGGTTGGCCAGGATACTGTGGAGCAGGAGGTTGGCCAGGATACTGAGCAGAAGGTGGTTGGCCAGGATACTGAGGGGCAGGAGGTTGACCAGGATACTGAGGAGCAGGCTGCTGGCCAGGATACTGAGGGGCCAGTGAGGTTGGCCAGGATACTGTGGAAGCAGGCTGCGTGGCCAGGATACTGTGGAGCAGGAGGTTGAACTGGGTACATGGGACCACCACGGTCAGCGACATAAGACATATCCGATGGCATCAAAGGTTGATATTCTGAAAAAAAACCTTGGAACGCTGGAATTTTATTTGTTGCCAAGATTTGAATAGGGAAAAAGTAGTCTGTTGGGTAAACATTCAGCCATAATGTAAGCCTGCGGATGCAAAAACAACATGCCTAAAATATTTCTGGAATACATTTGGACTAAAAAAAATGAAAAAAGAAGAATCTGAAAAAATCAGTGGAAAAAATGAAATCACATTTTTGTACTAACCGAAAATAAAGGTATATCAAACAGGGCGGTTAGAAGCCTTGCGTCAGCGCCTGGAAATTGCAATAGAGTCACGAACTGCAGGTCTTTTCAGAAGTAATGCCTATTATATCATGAGTGAAATCAGGGTATAACTAATTCACAAAGTTAGCAGGTGAAACAAACTTTGATGAAAATTATTGCCAGAATCAGAATTGAAGCCCAGACACCTGAGAAAACTGCTGTTGTGTTTTTTGTCAAAAAAAAAAAAATAAAAGAAGGTGAAAGCGCTTCAATATCACTGACCTGCTTCAGGATCCTTTGGAAACGGATCGTCAGCCGGTCGAGGAACGATATTCCGCATTTTCATATACGACGTGAGCTGCAGAGGCACCTCTGCCAACACCTCTTTCGCCAGTAATCCCATCACCCTCTCGCTTTCAGCTCCCGTACATCCTTCCCGTAGGAAATTCCGCAACGGCACAAACTGAACCCGGTTCAAATAAGAGACAGATTTTTTATTTTGACGGAGAAAAGATAGGAGACAAAATTAATCAATAATGGATTACCTGCACAATATCCCTCTGGGCTGTTCGCCCGGCATGCGTCAATAGATGGGTGTCCGAATCCAACTCGTTCATGTTCTCAAATTCATCGTTCCCGACGCCAACTATGATGATTGACAACGGTAACGAGGATGCCTAGAAAATCAAACCCAGTCAGTAATTGCCGCGAGCGGTCGCGTCGCGGTTGCACAATCAGTTGGCTCTCAGCGTCTTTCTGGACCACTGTGTAAATGTTATCAAGCTGCAGCTTCACCTACAATGTTAGCCTCCAGTAGGTGAGCGCCGCGACGCGACCGCACGCAGCAGCATTCGTTAAACTCTCATTCACACACGAAATAAGTGCCTCTAAGAAAATAATGACGAGGTTTTGCATAGGGACGGAACCTGCTTGGCATAAATTCCCATACGGGTTCCTCATTTTCTTCCTACAGGCTGGTTTTTCACACCCCCCCCCCAATTTCCGATGAGTAGTATGTTCAAAATATCTTAATTTACTCCTTCACATTTCGTCACATTATTTGGTTACCAAAAATTCAACAAAATTTTAAAGTTTGTTTTTTATTGAAACTATAAATTTTCTTAGTTATAAAGAATTATTGAAGGGTCGACAGCAATATGCTGGCTTCGTACTTCCATGTACCCATTAACAACTCAAATCTGATGACACATACCGCAATAATAGCCTGTTTTGTAGCAGCCATGTCAGAGATCGCTCCGTCGGTGATAATCAGCAGCACCTGGAAGTCGGGTTGATTACAGATCTATGTCTTTCGCTTCTTTTACCTCTCTTCTCACCTGATATCGTGACCCATCAGTCTTGTTTGATATCCTTGAAGCTTTTTTTGCTACCTCTTGGATCACCGGTTTGAAATTCGTCGGACCGTAGAGCTTCACGCGGCTCAACGCGAACCGATACGATTCCATCACACCTCTCACACCCACCACTGACGGATTTGCGTCGAAATTCTGAATAGGAAGATTCGTAACTTTATTAAGGCGAGCTTGGGCACCTCCTCTGATGCTTACCAATGAGAAGATCGGCGACACACAGGTCTGAGGTGGCAGAATTGCTCCAAAGCCGAACGCGTCAAACTGTTTACTGTTGTTGTAATGTTGACAAATGTCGATGACGGCTCTAAAACGAGAGGATGGAATTTTTCACTCGAACCGAAATTGGATGGAGGTCGGTTGCGCCGCCAGCCTTCGAGTTTAGGTACAGGCACTCCTAAAAGGTTGATCAGGATATGACACGCCACTTCCAGCCAGTACGACCCTCCTTCCCAACAGGGCGTACATATCAACGAGTCTTGCTGGATTCTGTACCAATGCTCATCATCCTTCACTCCTTTGCTGCACTCTCCTACCTCCAACTTTCCTAAGGGACCCCTGCGTGGCAGGAAAAGGAGGTAGTCACAGCAAAATAGTGCGGAAATCCGTAAGCTTATGAGCACCATTTTGAGGGTAACCCTCGGACCTGGATAGACTTTGCTTCCATTTCAAGCAAAAAAATCGTGGCCCAATACAATGCGGCCATCGAAAAGTCTCAACATGATGGCGCTATGCATGAGACCGTCCCGCGGAAATCGTGCCTGATGGCTGTACGCCTCGGAATAATAATTTGTTTCTTGCCCTCATAAATGCTTCCGATGCTGCGCTTATCACTGGCAGATCATGTCTCAACATAAGACTATCTGATCCGAATATACAACAGATCACGCTATCGCAAGATACGGGAAAAGCACTGTAGAGGCAACGCATTTAACGAACGTAAAACAGTTACTTAAAATACGGGATAAGGGACCAAGCCTTAGGCATGGGAGAAGAGAATCCAGGGCGCATGAGCAATTTTCACTTCACCGACCCCTTCCCAGGCTTCGTCCTAGAAGGCTCCCCCATCTTGCGATAGCGCCTAACAGCCTACTACGTAGCATACGGGTTAGAGCCCACTAACCTGATAGCAATCTCGTACTGATTCGGTTGAGCAGTACTGATACTGTGAAGTGATGTGGGCTTGTGAACGGCACCATTGGATGCTGTAAAGTCTACAGCAACAGCAAAATCCAGTTGAGTTCTGAAAGGGATATGGTGAGGTGCCCACCATTAGATCTAGACCCCTTCCTAAAATAGGAAGGAGCTTCGAAGCTGAAAATGTGTACTCACCCTCCAGCTATGAAATCCAAAAACGAGTACTGCTTCAGCAGCTCCACACCGTTGAATTCCAACGTTCCAGAATTCTTGTACTTATCACCCTTCTTGGCGCGTTTCTTGTCATTTATCAGCTTAAACAAAACAATAAATAGAAAATTAATATCATTTTACTCATTATTGTTTCTGTTACTTTAAACTTTCAATAATAGGTGAAGATAAATTTTGCTCAAAATTGTTGAGTGAAAAATTTTCAACTCACTGGTAGCGTTTTCACCTCATTCGATAGCAGCTGGTTGAGGGTGACTTGACAGCTCCCGATAAAATCGTGGCTTAAACTGAAGCACCGTAGGTTTCTCAGAAAAACAATGAAATTGAGTAATCAGAAACACTAGGAGAAATTGTACAACCACAACACAATTTGGTATTTTTGGATTTCATGGTCTGAGCCGCGTGCGGTCGCGATGCGACTTAAGATCGACCAGTAATTTTTCCGGTTGTGTGAAAGCTATGGATTGGTTTGGAATATTAATTTAGTGATTACCACATATTCCCTTATTACAATATAATTTCGTGCACAATGCGATCACAAACAAGTATGGTCCCAGTGACGCGACGCAACCGCACGCGCCGGTGATCACATGAACGCCTTGCCGTGCGTACAAAAATGAGATGATAAAAAAGTGGTGAGCAGTTAATAAAAAATTTAAAACAAACATTCGAGCAAACTAAGCAATATAAAAATTTACCCGCCATCCCAATCGTAGTCGAAGCATTCTATCAATATTGGCCTGAAAGTGTTTTTCTTAGAATATTTTTCGAAAATTGAAATTTAACTTTGAAAACGCAGAGGTTCATGCCTCTTATAGTCGTTGGAGCACAGCATCTTCACGTTCACCTCAAACGGATTCCAAACCGGATTCAACTCCCTTTTGATTGCCTCCGTTCGATGAGCTAGCTGACGACTGGAATGGAAACGATTTTTTGATGTTGTTTAGAAACGATTTTTGAATTGTTTAGAAAGCGAACAGCAACTCACGTTCCATCTTCGCTTATTCGATAGATATTCAGAAAAGGGTCGGACTTCCCGAAAAAATCCTTCTTGTCCAATTTCTTCGCGCTCAAATGAAATCGTACGTTTTCTTTTGCGCCATCGTCGACCTCATCGCAACAGACAGTGATCTCGCCATGATTTTTTCGTTTCGTTCCGCTGAAATTTATAGAAAGGCATTAGTAACTACATATGTACTGCCTCATCCCTCGATAGGTTTCATGGTGCAACTGTCCAGACTGAAGGATTCGGGAGTGTGATAGGCGGGCGCTTGTGCACGAGCGCCTGAAGTTGAGTTTGAAACTGGGGATGAGATATTCATTTCTACGCGTAAAATACTAAGAGCGATTGATATGCCTATCATTGGATTAGGAGATTATCGATCAAAATCGGCCCTCAGTTTTGACGAGTAGCAGGAGGAGTAAGGGTGGACTATTGTAGAGCAAAGAAATTTTTGGCCAAGTTCCGATGAGTTCTAAATCAAGATAGAAGGTTAACGGAATTGCTAGGTATGGAGAAGCATCGTCCGTGGTTTAGGTTAATGCAGTACACTTCATCATTCCGTTAATGCTGATTTAATTAAACCGTATTTGTGAAAAAAACGACGATTACGATGAAATGGATTGGTGCGTTCAAACAATGAGGATTTTCGTGGCCTCAATTAGAAAGCAGTTGAACGCGTGTGGCGCACCGACAATCAGACTGGTTTGTGTTTTTTTACAATTTTTTGACTCGGTTTTTTCAATTATGTTCTTGTCAGAATTCATTAGAGGGATTTGGGAGATCGCGTATAGGATATAAGGATGTATGTATAATAAGAAATGAACGCGTGTGAGTGGAATTTTAGGCGGTGAGCGCGCTCAATTGTCTGGCCGGTTGTCTGTGCAGATTATTATGAAGTTTTTTATTTTATTAATTGTATTTAAATAGCATACCTGTGTTAGTTAGTCTGGTGAATGGCCGATTCTCTCGTTTGCCGATTTGCGCGCCAGCTTAATCATACGACAGAAAATCATGAGCGGACAATCTGGACGCCGGTCGATATCGTAGCTGAAATGGAGACTTTTTAGAAAAATTGATGATATACAGGGCAGCAGGAAAAAGTGAGGGATCCATATAAGGAATGGAGGGAAATGAAGAAATTTGAGGTAAATGTGGTAAGTGGAATCCCATGAGAATTTCGATCGTCATCGTCTGCGTCGTTCGAAGAGTAGTCGATATCGCGGTTGAAGACCGCGCATTCGGGGATTCAGTGTGTTTTTCCCAAACACTCCCGTACGCGACCGCTTCTACCATTTTCTTTACCTGAAATTGAGCGGTTGCAAGAAGGCAAATCTAATCCAGGCATATTCGAGATTGAACAACTGACGTGGGGAGATTGCCGAAAATTAAGTGTTTATAGTAATGACTCCACACAATTATATATATTCATGGTATGTTGATCCTGAAGCCCGAAAGGAAGAACGCGCAGTATCGCTAGTTGGGCCTTATAGGAGTCCAGCATTTTGGAACCGCGTGAAAAATTACTTTTCAGTTGTGAGCTAGACGTCGTTAGTCCTGCACCTCCCGGTCCACAAATTGCCTACCCGCAGGTTAGCGTCAGAAATCTGCTAGACTTCAAAATTACAGAATCACTGCCCCATGGGGAGTTTGCCTGCACATATGTCAGGTCTTATTGAATTCGCCGGTTCTGGGACAGGTGGAAACGTAAAGATCGGAGGTCACCCATGGAGATTTTTGGTGGCAGAGAGCGAAGCATTCGCACAGAATTGTTCGCGCGCCATATGATTTTGAGATTTTGGCAGGTAGGTTCCAGAGTAGTTGAAATGTGAAACATAGAAGAATACCTACCAGTAAGTCGCCCGACATACTGCGACACAACGCACATCGGATCGCTTTTCGAGAACACATCCTTGTCGAGAAGCTTCCTAAACGAAATTTCTTATTTGTGGATCGGATAAACAAATAAACATTTTTTTTCTGTGAGTCCAGGACATCTATAGAGTCTAAAAAATTATAGGCTCAAGACAAAAAAATACTTTGGCAGGCAGCGCAATTGGTAAGCGAGATCGAAAAAACGGATAAATGGATTAATAAATAACAAACATAATAACGAAGACCCGAACAAATATGATTTCAAAAAGATTTACTCAGCCAGTTAAACATACTTTGCTTTCAATGTCAGAAGCAAGATCACTGACGGCGTGCTCGATGTCGGGTCATTCGCATTGAACATTCGATGAGTTAGGTTGTCTCTTAACTGGCAGTAAAGTTTTTGTACTGAAATTTTGATAGAAATATCGATAAAATTAATATTAAAGCCTGTGACGACGGTACGAAATATGAATCAATCACGTCAATCATCAAGAGCAATAAATAGCTCGAGAGAACACTAACAGAACCCTTGGATGATTCATTCTTTGACAAGAGAAGGTGCACTCAAAACGCGAAGGGAAGTGAGCGCTATAAAGGGGATTGACGGAATAAAATGGTTATTTCAGTTGGGAAGAAGTGCCCCTTACAATCGTGCACGATCCAATGAAGAGGTCTGGAGAGGGTTGAATAACTCAAATACGTACCACCCTAATCGAGCACTCTAGCGAGAACGATACACAGTAGGATCCAGACTGAAACTAGATCTTTTCACAATTGGTATGTGAGGCGGATGGCAAGTTGGGGGGATAAAACATTGTGGTTTAATCGGATTAACTTTAGGCGACGGGCGAAGAGACTCAAGGGTGTGGGAGCTACATTTTATTTTTCCGGTGAATTCATTTGCTTCACAATCCATACCACCCTATCATGGAGCAGTCCAGCGACAAAGTAGTGCGCAGGGTGCGATATCCTAATGAACTGACTACCAGAACGTATTGTAGGCACTATTTTCGAGGCGGGGGCAGGTAATACACGTGATTTAACGGGATTAAGCATTGCGAGGCAGGAGGATTAGGATGAGGGGTTAATATTTTCATTTCCCGAATTCCTGTCTTCCCATGGCTTATTCGAGGTACCTCTAAACGCTGCAAATCACCTTATTGTACAACTTTATAAATGCTTTGACTATCGCAGGGCTTTCCATTGTGGGGACTCCCCGAAGAAGACGGGTAAACGATGCGCGACGAGGAACGAAGAGAGAAAGAGGGCAACCCGTGCGCAGCTTCAGGGACGAGCAACTATTACAAAATTGATCTAGGTTTGAAAGTTATAAAAGAATCCCAATCTACACCACCATTCGAAAGTAGCTATCACTTTTTCAGCTGTTTTCAGAGTAAGCTTGCGAATATCCACAATGAAAACTGGAAGTAAAACTAAGCTTATTGGACGTCATAGGACGCTGTTATGCGTCATCACACGAGAAATGATATCAAAAGTGAAGTACGAACAACGAAACCTAGAGAGTTGAAAAGAAGTGTAAAGTTATACAGAATGACGCTAGAGTTGCAGAAAGCGGATTCTCGCTCTCCCAACACGATATTATGAATCTTTGAGAAGCTTATCTATTCATTAATTGCTCAAGAACCGTGCAAATACGAATCTATCCACTGCGGCTACTCCAGCAGGGAAGAAGAGCGCGAGAGAAAGCAATCAATGGTAGTAATTAAACCCTCATCAGCTGGAGAAAAAACCCGACCACGACCCATTTGCACCGGCTCGATGCTTTTATTTGGTCGGAGCCAATTCACTGAATCGCATCGACGCAGCAGTGACGCGATTGGCGCTTTGCGATTCCAATTAACGACCAAAACAGTGCTCGGGAACGGGATGGTCCAAAGAGATTAGTGCGCTTGCTCTTCGGCATCCATGGCTTTAGCCGTTGAATCTTTGAGAAAAAGGGAAAAGAACACTTCAACTTCCAAGCATTGACGGAATTGACAAACACTCAAATTCCTCTGGGTGTGTTTGTTGGTGTGGGATTAATTGTGGGCTGATTGGTGAGGGTCCTAATATTGGAATGAGTTCAATATAGATTTGTCCATCTATGCAAGGTAGGAGTTGAGCAGAGCGGGACAAATATTTCAGGAGCTGGGGGATCAACAAGGGGGGGGTATCTGGAACTACTAGTCTCGGGTGGTCTCTGACTGATGCTACATTGAGCAGGATTTCAGGTTAGGCAGTTTCCTGTGGGAGTGTTAGTTTAGGCGGCATTTTATTAGGATGTGAGGCCTGAGTGGCCTCGTATTTGGAGCCCGTGCAGCCCATATGTGGGCTGCAGTCTGTGACCACGTAGGACCTTTCAGCCACATTTCGGAAACAAATATTAAGTTTTTCTTTCGTTTTCTTTTCCATTTCATTCGATAAGGTTTCTTCTGCATCATACAGTAGGTTTTCTTCCAATTTGCTTGATAAGATTCCTAAAAATCTCACTGAAGTCCCACGCGGCCGCAAAACGTAAAACATGCGCGGTCTCCAAAGTGTAAACTATCAACACAACCGCGAAATAAAGTGAACCAAGAAAAGTATAACGTCCTATAATAAGAGGCTAAACGCTGCGTCGAGAACGCTAACGAGGAAGGTCTTTCAGGAAATGCCCAGCTTTCTCGAAAACGGTTTTTTGCATGATATAGGGGTACGTGCATGGAACACAGAACTGTAGTTCATTTTTCCTGAGCGGCCCTCTGAATACCAAAAAGGGGTGATGAAGTGGTCCGTGGTTCGAATCCTCGCAGTGACAATTTTTTTTGCATTTTGTGTTGGCGTTTCAAAATTCGCGAAAAATAGCGTCAGCGTAAACAACTTATGTCATATCTATAATTAGGACCATCAGCAACCTTTATACGTAGACTTTGGCTAAAAACTGGTGAAGAAAGTTAAGAACGGCAGTTCCTTAAGAAATTTTTCTTCGCTCCTTTTTTGGTATTCAGAGGGTCGCTCAGGAAAAATGAACCACAGTTCTGTGTTCCATGCACGTACCTCTATATCATGCAAAAAAACCGTTTCGAGAAAGCTGGGCATTTCCTGGAAGACCTCCCTGGTAAGAAGGTAAAACACAGGTTCCACAGGTGTGCGCCATGTACAATTCCACCTTTCGAAGCATAGAAGCGACTTAATCTTTCCTTACGGAACAAACAAATGATTCAGAGAAATAGAACCTGCCAAAATTCGAATATTCCTGTACCGAATCGTTTTTAGTCCTTCTATAGTTATTGCTCAGCTCCTACCAGCCAGTATCTCCACACTGTCTGTCGAACCAACTAGCCGAACCTTGAGTGGTACAAGCGAGCTTCCTAGCGACTATTTATCTGGTAGCAGCGTCTGCTACCACTCTACCATCTTTCTAAAACACAGATCCCAAGAAAGGAAACTGACCTAGTTGAGGGACCCACGGACCTCCTGAGGGTGCGAACTGACGCGCAATTCGCATGGAAAAATTTGACCTCGGCGACCTATCATGCCTCAAAGCTGGCGGGTCCGGCGATCTCCGCCCACCGATCATCTGATCACTCGCCGTAGTTCAATACGTGGCGAGTGATTAGATAGGCTGAGAGAGCGTAGTATTGAAGAGGGCACAGCGATGGAAGTCCATCAATCGCTGAATCACCTGGGCAACATAGGGTCTATTTCTCTGGTTCGGCGTTCTCATCAGGTTCTCTCTTCGTGTACCAACTCACCATCCCTAGCAATTTAAAATGGGTTGCTATTCATGTGATTCGTCCTTAATTTACTACCGTGGCAGCTTACAGTGTTGCAAAAAAGATAATACTGGCATCAAGTAGTACCATTCAGTCCAGTTAGAGTCTAATTCAGGCATGACCCAGCAATTATCAGCTCAACTCGATCGCGCTGTCGGAAGTTTTTTATTCCAGAGGCATTCGTCCGATTGTTCAGCGATGAAGCGAATTCATTCTATCTCGCTTAGCCCCAATAAAATATTATTCATAATATCCTTTACAAGAGAGCAGCTTTTGTCCACCGTCATCGTTCCTTCTCAACAGTAATTTCTAACGAGATTTATCGTAAAAGGACAAAATCCCTAAAAAACAACTGGATAAACAAGAAACAACAGATCAACAACGGCTAAATAATGCAAATCTATAGGATTTAAGAGCAGCTGAAGGTGATTCCAAGGCGATGACACCACGGCAATCCAGGATTCCTAGATCACTAAGAAGAGAATAAGCCCCAGGTTCCTTTGCAAGACGGGCTCTAACGCTTTGCAATCGATGCGAGACACTAATATGCATGTAATTTGGCTAGCAAAAGGAACTACGAAAAACAGGTACTATTCAGAGGTTCCATGGAAGCTAAGCCGTAAACAATCGAGTGTTGTTCGCCTTGGCCACCTACGTGAAAGAATCGAGCGGATGGCGTCATCACATTTCGAAAGGCAACCACATGTGGCAATACGCGAGCTTCGAGCGACAACTGGGAGCCTGGCTGGAATGATAATTGATGTCACGCTCGGTGCCCTGCCATGTTCTAGAGCTTAACGTCCGCCAGAGAACTATTATACGAGCGATTTAGCATGTATTTACCATAAGATTATGAGGTGTTCCATTTGGTCAGCCTATTTCAAGATACGCCACGCATTCGCGTCTGATTCAAAATCGCAGAATAGGTTCTTAGCTCATACAACAAGAGGCTAGCCGATAAACCAATTGATATTTTTAACAGTTTTCCGGGTAGCATTACCGATTTTTGATCTCGTAGGGATTGAGGGTCCGCATTCGAGATATGATCTATGGTGTATTAGTGACGCCACATCCCAGCTGCTTCATCTCCACCCGCAACATCAAGAAAGGTTAAGTTTAGGGACTTCAAAGAAGCTCCCCATTGAAAATTTCTTAAGCTGCTAACTGGAACACAAAATGTATAAAACGGATTTTCGCGAGGGAAAAGCATCGAAAGAGGAGAGCGACTCGCTTCAGTTAATCCCTCTTCGATGCGCCATGCATTCAGTTTCATTTCAAAATAGAGTCCGTAGTCACAGCGCTCACAGCCCACACAGAAGCCTATGAAGAACTTCCAAATTTCGAACGCTCCTCCTATCATGAACTAACTGAATTGCAACATAAGGAAGAAGTCAACAATTGAGAAATCGGTTAGGGAACGGCACAATCCGTACCTGTTAAGAGCGTGAAGGAGTAGAAATCAATATTTCTACCACCTGCACCACTGAAACCGAAAACAATGGCAGCGACCCATGAAAAACACCGACAGACAAGTTACTCAGGTGATGAACGATTAACCTTGTGTTGACAAATGGTTACGGTTTCTCGCGAAACTGGTCGCAAGGGAACTTCACTAATTTAAATATACCTAAATACGCTGCCAAAATATGCGAACCAAAAACAATTTTTTCTGCCAATTTCAATATGAAAAAGAAATCCTGGTAAAAACAAAAGAAAACAAATGAATAACAAAAATACTGCAGTAGGACGGAGTAATGAAAGTATTCTAGGCTTTCTCCAATGAACTATTGCGCCAAATCAAGGATCACCGGTGTTTACTCTGCGAACCTTCAACCACCACTGTCATCCGCCAAATCAAGGCACATACATCGGCCTAGTCCAATCAAAACTACTCCCAGTCAGGCGCAAGTAAAAACGAATGCTGGAACGATTGGACTAAAAAGATAACTAAGAAAAAGAAAACAAACAAAAAAAAAAAACCAAAACAATGAACAATATCTTCTTAAAAGCGCTTAGCCTTTTGCAGACTTTGGCTTGAGTATCCAAAGAAGCTACACCGAGACTGGATTACCACTTTCTATCTTCTTCATCTACCAAAGTCTTTCTCGACGCGAGATCGCGCCTGTATTCCCACACCGGAAGCGTGCTCCTAACGTTTTTGTGCAAAGTTCATGTATTTTAGAACCACCTGAATCTTACTACCGTAGTCTTTAAAAACCACGAAATACCCAGTTCTAATTCCTACCTCACAACCACCCTTAGCCAGCATAACCCAATGTATATCTGCGATAGGCACAATTATTCGGCCACTGAAATGCCCCCCCTCCTCCCCAAAGCTACACGGGAGAAACCGTGGCTCATCCAGACAGGGACGTTCTATGCGTCAAGGAAGTGACAAGCAGAATTAGCACAGCATTTTGGTGCTATCTGCCTAATACTGATCCACATGGAATAATTGATAATTGACTTTGGTATGACTCCATGAATTCACTTCAGTCAATGAATTACTGCTCGGACAAATAAAAACAGATTAATCAGATGTACATCAAACAAAGGAGTTTATCATAAAGAAATGAAGGTTAAAATGAACAAAGAAGAAAGGAAGGGAACTGGAGAAAATGACGAGAGCGATTCCCTTAGCCAACTATGAACCGAGCTACATCGACGCTCAGATTCAAGTGATCACGACTGATGATGATAAAGGAAAAGCAGGAAGGACGATCTGCATAGCTAACAAAACTTTTATTGAAAAGACAATCAAAAAAGTCAAAAATATTATTGAATAGGTTCATCAAATAGGAAAAACAGGGATGTATTTCAAAACCTTTATCGACGTCAAAAGAATATAGTCGATACTAACACAAGGCAGGCCCCTTGGGTACGACCAATCACATAGGCCAAATCTAATAAATAGGGTAATGAGATGGCTTAACCTAGGAATAAGTGAGAACTATGAGAAATGCTTATACAAAACAGCGGAGTGAACCGAAGCAAATTTAAGGCCGCGTGAGTCAGTGGGTGGTACTGAGCACACATTGAAGTGTTCAAAATCCTCATGTGATAGCGCTTGAGTCAGCGCAATGATGCTGGTCCATTTCGCCTCTTCGGCCGACGATCAATAAACAAGCAGCTGATGAGAAATCTTGCGAAAAGGGACATTAGCAAGCCAGTGAGTAGAGGCAAGCCTCAGAGTTTCATTTAGAGCCTGATGGGACTCATACACTAACAGGCCCGCCAGAGAAAAAAGTAGGTGAGGCCGATGGGCAAATAGCCAAGCGCCAAAGATCGCACACAAGAGAGAAGCCTTTCCGCTAGCCGCGTCCAGGCAGAGTGGGTGGAGCCGAGCCAGCCAGCCGTGGGAAGAGGACATTTTCCGGTCAGCATCCTGTTGTTTTGGCACGTATCCAACCGAGTCCGCGACAACAAAAAACGGTGAATCACTAGCAGGAATCCTTGGAATGCGCCATGCGTTGGGCCGCAAAATTCTGATGGATCGTATATACTTGCAAATAAAATCATATACAGGAGTAGGCCGATACTAGAGCCTATCAACATGATGTTGTGCTGCCCACAGAAAATGGAAGCCTCGTTCAAGCAATAATCCAAGGTTGGAATGAAATTCAATAACAATGGGGAAAACTTGTAAAATAAGGATAAGGATAAAGCATTTGCCGTTGATCAATCCCTTTTTGGGATGCGGCACGCATTCTACTTCCATTTGTACATTCGTAGTGGCGTTTGAATGCGATGTGGCCTATACAATGACTTGCGGGGGCCAGCCGATGTACAAGTCAGTGTTTTTATCCTCCCAGACAAGTCTGGTACCAATTAACCGACCCCGGAGGGATGGAAGGCTTGGTTGGCCCGGGCGACTCACGACCCAGGATTTGATCCCCGGACCGCTCGCGTGGTAAGCGTGCCACTTGCCACTACACCACTTCCGCCCAAACTTGTAGAATAGCAAGGTAAATTAAAGGATAGTCGACTAACTGCTGGTAGAACACCTTTGGGTGCGCCACGGAATCGAAATCCATCTACAATCGGAAATAAATGTTGCAACGCCTTGAGGTAATTCGCCAATGTTCTGGCTAGCATTTCCATCAAAAGAATGAACGATGTAAAAATGTTCAAATATAAAGTGGAACAGAGCCTTTGTGACTCCAACGGAACCCAACAAAATCCAATCTACTGAGATATTCTAGCCCGATGTATCCCTCCCAACCACTAAACTACCCTCCACAAAGGAATTCGGCATATTTCTATGAGATTGAAGGCTCCACATACATTGAAGAACTCTACATTTATATTCGGTGCCAGTCAATCTAGCATGGGGAGATTTTTGGGCCTAAAGGGGATGATCTTATAAGCTGTTTTGGTGCGCATATCAACCTTATGTAGATACTGCTCTATATGTATATGCCAAAATACCTATCAATGAACTAATTAACCAAATACATGATTTTGTCAGTGAAACCACAAGGAAAGACAACACTTGAAAACTAGAAAGAGGAGGAAGGGAAGATGAACGGAGAAAGTGCACGTTGTTAAAAAGGGTGCGCCACGTATTCGCACCGCATTTGTAATAGCGTGACATTTGAAGGCCGTGTTTGTTCTATTAAGCTCAACTGAATGAAGTTCGTATCTTTAACTTGATCGAGCTATCTGATATCAAGACAAGAATTGAAGAAACGTCAATTATGTAAGAACACCGGATCTGATGAAAATTCGAACGCTTAGACAGGTAGTGATCCGGATTCGCCTATCACGGCGCCATGAGCGTGTTAACTGCGCTAGCAGACCCTCCCCCCCCAACCCTTTAGATATGGAATAGAAGTGAAATATATTAGGAACGGGAGAAAGTGAAGGGATGATATAGGAGAAATTTTGTGCGGTGTACATCGCGTACGGTATATATCCCCTCTACCGACGGTGTCAGTAGTTTTTTTTAGGGAAGAATAGTGTAAAGCATTGAAGACTTCTCGCGAAGAAGAGGTCAGCAAATTGTAGAAGTTTTGGCAAAAAATATCCAACACAATAGGACGACACGGCTTCGGAGGCAACGCGTGAGAATTAGAAGCAAAAATATTTAAAGGACGATCAGTGCACAGCGCCGTACTTCAACAATAAACCATTGAAATTTAAAAATTCATTAAATTTAAAGCACAGAAGAGGTCGTTTAGAAAGAAACAAAGCACGAATCACGATAGTCAACACCCGTTGTGTGGATGAGCTTTAAGCTATAATACTTAAGCTTTAAAAATCAATATAACAACAACACGAAAGAAAACCAATGCAACAATCAATATTAATCAATGGGTCGATACTTGGGCAAACATGGATATCTACGCCTCCTTGAGTAGCAAACAAAACCCATTTCCAACAAAAACATTAGAAAGCCCGCAGCAAGCGTAGCTGCATAGAGTACTAAAGAATAAAAACGACTATGAATCCAAAGGATTGAGAACGCCACGCGATATCGATTAGTGAGTTCATCGTCAACATATCGATCGATTCGAACGAATCCATAGCCCACTTCAAACACGCCCATTCTGAAAGTACCAGTGGTGATGAAGTAAAATTGTTCAAGCTCTACACTCTCCACACCATGGCTGTGACATAAGCGCTTCAATATAGATATTGATTTCAGGCGCGTATAATCGATACCTATATTAAACGCTTGCACTTGTGAGGAGGTGAGAAAAGAAAGAGAGTCCAAGTTTTCAAAAAAAAACGAAAACATAAAAAACGATACCTATATGAGCAAGTGGGGGTTTGTAACTCAAGTATTTCTTTCATGTTTATCGTCAAGTCCTGAACTTCATCAATGCCCGTGAGATCTTTGGAAACGACGTCATGGCTTTTTCTCGACAAATAATGAACAGCAGCCTGAAATAATGAATAGTTGAAAATATTTTCTACAGATTTTTGTGAGCATTTTTGCCGGTTCGTAGGAGCTAGTGTTGAATTATCGATCTTTTCCAGTATACGCCACGAGCACGCAGAAGTCACAGAACTTGCGCAGTCGATGGAGTGCGGTGAGAAAGCAGAAGATCAATGAATAGCCTAACAAAAGGGACCGCTTCCCTTCTTCAAACATTCACGACATATATTCAAAGGCATCGGTCAAGGTTCATCCAGCAACTGCCTCCGTGAGTGAAGAAGCAGGGCAGGAAGCATTGCCCAGACCGATGCCATTACTATGCGTTCGCAGCCTACGCGGTGCCTGCGCTCTCTCACGTAACCCCTCCACTAGCCGATTGCGCGTCTCCTTCAAGAGAAGTAAAGGGGCCCTATTTAAGGTTTTCTCCGATCCTTCTGGTTCTCACCCATTTTATGGTTTTGCGCCATCTAATTCATTTTCAAGCGGACTAGTATCGCAATTTGTGCCCACCTGTTCTTAAGGGTATACAGATGAAATTACAGAACTTCGATTCAATAAAATATTTGTTGGCTGGCCGAATAATTGCATCTAATCTTTGCCAAGTCGAGACATAGCGTAAGAGCAATATCATATCCCCCCGCTCATCGCGCTCGACTGAGTTTGTTCAAAAAATCGAATGAAGGCTTATCCCAGACCGCAACCACGTAATTACTTAAAGAAGCAAAAAACTGGTACTGCAACTGTACCTTATGATCGTGAGCGCTGAGTATCAGATCGGGATTGACCTGCTTTCTCTGAAACCAACTGAATAATTACAAATAGAAACATCAGATTCAGCTCAGAATTCTCTACATGTAAGAATGGAAAACAGTAAATATATCGAAGTATTAATTACAAATAAATAAAGTAGCAAACAAAACACTGAAAAGCGGAACTAACGATTTTTGAAGTGTCACCAAAGGTCCAAACAGCAAATGGGGCATGACTCAGAACCACTTTCAACTCCGGCGGATTGGAATACTCACGGATCTTCGTCACCTCAGAATTCATCAAATTCACCTGAAAACGTGGTTTTTGTAGCAATAAAGAAAATTTAGTAAAGTAATGTATTAAAAAGTGATGCTCGCACTTTAAAGCTAATTCTGGAGACGCTGGACAAGCTTAGCCTACCCTCGAGCTCGAATTCGTGAAACGTGGCGCATCACCAGTAGACACTGCGCTTAATTCCTCCTGAGCTAGAGCTCGAGTAGCTTAAGCTGTTCACTGCGTCTACTCGCCAGAATCCTTATTGAAAGAGCCGCCCCGCCGAAAGTGAGCTCGAGCACTCAAAATCTCATGCGAATTTTAACACAACTTTTTTGTTGAATTAAATTCCAACTTTTCATTTCCTATTGTCAATTTTAACTGAGAAAGGCTCCAGGATGGACGTGCTTCAATATTGGAAAAAAGCTATGTAACCAGTGATGTGTATTGAAAAAATACGTGGTCTAGCTGAAGGAGTTTTGCTAGTTCCACTAGTTTCAAATAAACTGCAGTGCTTTTTTGCCCTAACGTTGAATCCTGGATTCAGTACCTACCTCAGTAATGGACAGAGACTTGAAGATGTCATTCGATGATGGAAAGGAATTCGTGAAAATTCGACCGAATCGAGCTGTCAGAAGACTCTGCACCGGTTCCACCTCACCACCAACGTCGTTGTCACCGCTGATGTAGATTGTCTAAATCGAGCAGCAAAAGGCTAAAACAACTATTTTTGGCGCCATCTTACTATTAGGAATGCGCCATGCATTTGCATTCATCTAAAAACTGAGACATTGTGGATGCCTGCATGGCCCGCATAGAAGCGTAATAGCGTCTTTTTTTTCAAAGATATGGGACAAGCTGATCAACGATGTGAAATCATTTGTTCAAAGGTTTGTTTATCATTTGTGAGAGGGGTGGCTAATAAAGCTGCTAATTGCCTCGCAACGTTGGCCCTTGCGAGAGGCCGCATTTTACCCGTTCCCATGGTAGGAGAAGCCACACAGTAAATTGGACAATTGACCAGGACGGTGCTTCTACGCACGTGTCTGTCATTGTTATAAGTAAAAATATGTAATAAAAATACATAGACATACTCATTACAGGATCTTCGTGTCGAAAATGTTTGAATCTGTAAATCGTCGTCCAACTGTATCTTCCCCGGCGTTGCCTCAACTTCATCGAAGAGATCGCCAAGTGAATGATCAATCGGGTTAGTGACGGACACGCATGACGAAAAATTCCCTTTTGAAAGAAATGAAGGCACAATTTCAATGTCTCTTTGAGGCATCTAGAAAGGAAGAGCATGTCTTACCGATCGCAATCCCATCTTGTCAAGGGTCCCAGCATATGGTTCTCGTTCTTGAATCCGACCAGCTGGGGATCGGCAACAATCAAAATCCCTAGAGATCTTTCTTTGTCAAATGCCGGTTCCGGGACATGCCAATATAGTCTCGAGTGATAGTAGCTTAACGATTCACCCCAGATGATGAACACAAGAAGGGCAGCTGAAAAAAAAGAACCCTTATTGAAGGAACGAGAGGAGATTCTTGAATCGCAAAAACAATTGTTTCCTCATGATTACTCCCATGTGATTACGGTACAGGAAGCAGGGTATTGAAGACGCCAACTCGAGTTTTCCATTACTCAAGTGCAAAACATCCCCTGAAGGGTCAAAAACCCGTGTGGACTTTTGAAGATTTTGCCTTACAAGAGGCACAAGGAGAAGTCACCGCACATCCTCCCACTTTTAAACGTCGATACAGAGTGATCGAACTGTGAAGGCGCTATGGAGGATTTAATTGGCAGATTACCCACAGTCCTCAAAACTTGGCACAAAAAATTTCTCTGCTTTGAAAAAATCCATGGCAATGAAAACGATGCGTATTGATCGTCTTCAAGAGGCTCCAATCTGTGGCATTTTCACAGTCAACGTTAGAAGCGGCGCAATCAGCGCAGTAAGCTCAAAATTAGCTGAACTCCATTGCCATGGCTTTCGAAGGAAAACGCAAGGCTTCGCAACTGAAAGCATTCTGTGTTAGCTATTTCGAAGTAGCTTTTGGGATGTGCCACACTCTGTGCTTTCATTCAAAATCGTAGTGGTATTTGGATGCTTATTTTGTCTACACTTTGATTTACGGAGTCCAGTTAATGTGCAAGTCGTTGTGTTGCATTTATATTCTCAAAGGAGCCTAAATCAAGGAACCGTGCCCAGAGTTGTGTATGACCTGGGTATGTGCTTGTTGTATCCATGAAGCCTGTTGCGATAGTAGTGCCTTTTGCCACAATCCTCCCACCCCTTCTGCTTTAGGAAGCATGGGAAATGGATGTCTTCACAGATTCTAGAAAAATAACGAGAAAGCGAACATCACCTGGGTAAAATGATGAGAACAACCTGAAAAGGCTACGTCGACGCAGACGAATCAGGGACATCCCGATTGATTCAAGCGATCTCGGCCAGACGTGCTACCGCTCATCCGCTTTTCACTGCACGATATCCCGAAAACTAGCTGGAAATTTTCAGCTCATGAAGACTGCAAGAGTAAAACGGTTCGGCAGTTCAATCACAGCAACAGAAATAAAAGATGGTTTTTAGTCAAAATTCGCGGGATCGATTTTGTACAGAACAGCATTGAAAAGCAGTCACTAAATCGGTCTGTGCATTTTTTCTCGTTAGGCAGTCTCCCCTCCGAATCTGAGATGCTCAATTGGCTTTACACTAGTTTTCAAAAATCCTATCCTTCTATTTTATAAAGCGCTAACTTTGTGTGTCGGTTTGTGTATGTATGTGTGTGTGTGTGTGTGTGTGTGTGTATGTATGTGTGTCCGTCCGCAAAATGAAGTGAGTGAGAAGGAAGCTCATGGGATAAACAAACCGCTAACAAATCGGGTAGCTTACAGGATTTGAGATATCAATGTTTTGTAGCAGGATAGTTGTGATAACACTCTTAGGGCTATATAAACACCTGCTTAGCACACTTCCGTTCATTCCACATGGTGCTGCAGTGGCAGCTGGAGGGCAGTGGAGAGAGGAAGGGAGATGAGGAAGGGAAGCGAAAAATCTACCGTCATATCATGATTGTCGACCGTTCGTCATGATTGTGTCCCTACTGAAACACCATTGTGTTGCATACGCGTCACTTCCACGAGGTGTTGGTGTCACAGGAGGAAGGGACCATAGCGGAGGATAGAAAGCTTGCGCAGGAAAGGAAGGTCCCGGCGGTTGACGGGGGACTAATCTGGTATAACAAATAATGGAGACATACTGTTTTCTGAGAGGAAGGGAGCAATTGCGGAAAAAAATGTTCAGGTGACTACTTTACGGAGCGTTCACAGTTGGCGATCGTACGAGCGAGTAGGCGATTAGGCGAGTAGGCGATAAAGTGGGATAATACGTATTGATTTGTTGCTCCGCCCATTGAGCGATCGCCTAATCGCCTAATGGCCTACTCGCCTACTCGCCTACTCGCCTAATCGCCTCAATCTATACGTACATTTTTCATTATAGACTAATCGCCTAATCGCCTAATCGCACGTGTGATCGCCAACTCTGAACGCTCCATTAAGACCGCTACTGTGTTCTTTAAATGCTATGACGGAGCGATGCAAAGTGTACAAGCAGGATAACAAACAAAAGTTGACGAAAAATAACAATGAGTGAACAACAGCATGCAACCATACTTTGGAGATATGATCCCTACAATGATTATGTCTGGAAACTGAGTTGAATGCATTGAAAGATAAAGAATGATAAGAGAACAGAGTTGAGTCCGCTATTCCCATGTTATGGTTCATGTTTGAGCACAGATTAAGCCAACGCTGGACGATAGCGTTGCTACCATATCCAGGATCTGAGATCGAAACCCCATCCTCAAATACAATGCCGAAGTACTGTTTTTGTATAGAAGTCAAATGCGTGGCGTGTCCCCCAAAAAGGACCGTCCACAGTAACAATTCCATCCCTATATCCGATCACCAAATTCATAGCACCATTGGCGAACAACAAAGCCAAATACGAACTTGAGGAGCGCGCAGCGTAGCTTGAATTCATTGAAGTTTAACGTAAGCCACCTTGAAAAAAATGCATAAAGCTAGCTGACGTTTATCGAGCTCTATCTCTTAAGGAAACATGACAATTGCCTAACCCAAATGAGTGAAGTGCTGAGACCCAAACCCAGCCAGCTATCACACAATGAAAGAGCCATGTGAATGTGTGCGGCGCATTTTGCCAGTGAAGTAACTCCCCCTTGCCAATACTTATAACACACAGAAAAACGTGTGAAGTTTCCAGTCCTAAAACAAAGAGAGCTCCCTTCTATTGCAACACATAGAACGATCAGCTTATTCAAGACGCCCAGACAGGTTGACGCAATTGTCCCATAATGACATACAACCAAATAGGTGGAGGAGGCGTGGGCCAGCGAGACTTCCCGCCTCCTCCACCTCCTCAATAGACATGGATTCTCGTTTTTCCGACTTAATGCGTGGGCATTACTCGATACACTCAATACTAAAGGTGTGTACTTCTCTTCACGAAAACACAATCAACTATTAGACATGCCTTGTCATCGTCCAAAGACAATTTGTGGTTGATATGCGACGGGGCGTGGCCGTTTCAGCCGTACTGGTATATATTCCGGCATTTCCGGTCAACACCCAGACATATTTCCGACTCCTCCTACACTGTTAATATCTTAATCTCCCATATCATCTGATATGAATGATCGTGGGTGGACATAGGAGGATTAAAAACTCACGCGCCCCCTCGAAGGCGTTAATTCGAATTCATCGAAATTGTCATACGGCGGTTTGTGAGTGCAATTCTATCGCTTATGTGTATGAGTAATCTGAATAAACATACTCATATCACTCATGCAAAGGCCATGAGTCATCTTTTACTTTTATAAACCGAAACTCCTCGCCACCTCTGAAGTCAGTTCCTCGTTGTCGCCTTTCATTGATTTTCTTCCAAATTTTGCACAATTATCCTCTCCTGTTCTCGTTTTTAGTGAATGAAGATTCTGAATTACACCAAAAAGTTGAGAGTTGAATTCCCTCATCTTACTCAAGCCTTTTGCATGCACCCCGCTATCGGTGACCGTTTGAAATTGCAGTACCATCTGGATGTGAAGGTTTCTCTACATATTAACTTGAAAAGCATCTCCAGTTCAATTCTTTTTCAATGTTTCCTTAATTTTCCAGTGAGTATTGCCTGAGTCAGCCGTTTTTGGTTCTCTGAGATTTTCTCGTCGCAAAACTCGTTACTGGAATTTAAAGAGCACCGAATCCTTACGAAACATCCGATAAGGATTTCGAACGCGGCAGTTGCATTCAAAAGAATAGGCAATACGGAGTTTTATTGTTTATTGGGCGCTCCCTAAGGGAGAGAAAAGAGAAAGGATGTGATCAATTTTTGTTCACCCCGACGTTTGTTCCCTCTTCCTGGGCTTAATCCTAGTGTCACACAGCAATTTTTGATGTTGTCCCCTCAGCCGATGACCATGGGGTGTGTTTTGTCTTATTTATAGACCTTAAGCTTACAGGGAATAGTTAAGTGTAATGCGCTTTAAGGCAAACGGAAGAAATACGAAATTATACAATTCTCAACTTAAACTGTCAACGGATTCTACAGAAACCAAATCTCACAAGGAACCAACAGATCTTTCTTACTTGGGTGAATGAAAAGCCTATCCCTACTGTAGCTTTGGATTCTTGGATTTCTTCAAGGGTGTGCCACACAACCTGGCTATTTTTAGAAATTTTATGCTATATGAATGCGCATTCAATCCCCAGGATGTCTGAAAGCCCATTTAGAAGTCAGCGATAAGGAGCCCTGTACCAAAAAGGGCTCTAGAAAATAAAAATTGTTTGGTCATGGCAAGAGTAGATCCCACTAGATCAACAGATGCTTGTGTGTTGGCGGCCCCGTAGCACTTGCGTTCTTCATGACCACTATGAATTAACCCTTTGACGACCGCCGTTATGAATGCGTCACTTCACTTCTTTCTAAATTTTTTCATCAATAATCATTAACTCTCCAACAATTTCACTATTAGTAATTAGCGCATTATTCCGCGAATTCGATGATGTATTTGTGTAGTTTTGAAACATAAAAAATGCCAAAATAAACCCCTAAAAACGTGTCGCCACCGAGCGAAAGTGGCCCACCGGCGGGCCACACGGTCGTCAAAGGGTTAAATACATGCCTATTGATTCTACAGTAAATGGCGCAGGAGCTCTCTATTAACTAGGCATATATGTTTGCACAGTGGGCAAATTCTCCTTATCATTTCTTTTCATTTCGCGCTAAACTTACTTCATTTATGCCTGAAATACTACTGCTATGAATTCATATTTTACCTAAGCTCAGTCTCATCATCACCTGCTTAGGGCTGAATAACGAAATGACTTTCTCCATTCGATCGGGTTATTTTATACTTTCGCTTCAGCGAAACATATGAACTCACAAAACAGGGTTGTAAAAGAAAGGTCAGGCAATAAGACGATTATCAGTGATTATGTAATTATCGTGGTTTTCCGGTTGTCCACCCACGTTTTCGAGGTGTGAATCACCTCAGCCTTCGTGAACTTTCTTGTACCCTGATTGATTTTCCTAAAGGTATAGGTCCACAGGAACTGTGAGCTCTTAACTTTTTTTGGACCTTGTAGACTACCGTGCTGCGTAAATAAAAGAGATCAGTGAAGAGGGTGAGAATTGCGTGAGTATTAATAAAAAACACCTTTGGAGTCCCAGCGAACAGCGTTTTTTTAAGTTTCGAGATAAAGAGAAAGTTTTATGAAATTCCTTGTTCCATGATTGATTTCCCCTGGAGGTAACGTCCACGTGAACTTAGCTCTTAACGTTTTTTTAAACCCTGTAGACTATAATGCTGTGTAAACGGAAGAGAATATTGATGAGGGTGAATCAATGAAAAATCCCGTTCAAAATCCATTCAAACACATTCGAAATCCTATCTACGCCTCAAGAACAAGAGATCGTTCTATCTTGTCTCTGACTTGATCATGGAATAGAATTTTTGGGAGATTTTTTCTCTGATAGGTAATGTCGGTTTACAGTGAAGTTCACAGGGTATCCAGCCCGAACCTAGCCTGGTTTATAACCTTTAACCCTGCTTTAAGTTTCTTGACTTGAGGTACTTTGCAGTGATAAAAATTGAAATTATATGGGACCAAAGTACCTCAGGATCCACAAAAGGTCATCAGGTCCTCCCAAATCCCGTGGTAAATTCACAAAAGACGCTGTGTGGCGCGTCCAAAAAGTTGATCAAAGTATAGACCACAGCCGTCGTTTGCGTATTTTTTCAAAGCTCCGTATTGGTTACCGCAAAGTTTTGGTAACACTATAACTTGTGATGCAAACCCA